GGTAGAGCTGGCTGCTTGCTGCCCACTTTGGCTATGAGCTGGGTCCCAGACCACCCTGCTGGCAACAACCTCTCTCTGCTTGTGCAACAAGAAGTTATCTGGGTACAACCATATTTCTTTGTCCTCCAGCATGATCCTGAGGCTTTTCCAGATGTTCTTTCTACTGGGATCAGCAGGGTTGTGGAAGGGAGCTCATTTCTTGGACCCACGGCAGAGCTATGGGATGATGAGCTATGAGCTGGGTCCCAGACCACCCTGCTGGCAACAACCTCTCTCTGCTTGTGCAACAAGAAGTTATCTGGGTACAACCATATTTCTTTGTCCTCCAGCATGATCCTGAGGCTTTTCCAGATGTTCTTTCTACTGGGATCAGCAGGGTTGTGGAAGGGAGCTCATTTCTTGGACCCACGGCAGAGCTATGGGATGATGAGTATCTGATCTTTGGGTGTTGCAGTGCCCATGAAACTAGGGTGATCCCCAGGTGACGGAAGGCAGTAGGAGGGCATGCAGAAAAAGGCACCAGGACATCATCAGCTCCTCTGGAAGCCAAAAGCAGAGCTCAAAGTGTAACAGAGCAGTTTCCGAGACAGTCCATCCCAACACCTGCAACTCTGCATGTCTCGGAGCTGGACTGCATTCTGCCACTTGGGACCAAGGAGAATGCACTGATGAGGGACTGTCCCAGCAGTGCTCAGCACCTTGCAGTCTTTCTGGGGGGTTATAAATGGGTGTTTGAGAATAAGCTTTCATTGATTTTTACAGCTCTCTTACCTTGTGTTGCAAAATGTACATGGCGGTGAGCTATTAGCCCCTGTTTCATAAAACACATTGCATGCAGCATTCATGTGCCCGCCGATGGCAGTCCCATGCCAAGGGGGACCAGCGCAGTGCGGTACCCACACCGGTGGGACAAGCAGTCTCTGGCCAACATGTGCTCGGGTCTCTTCCAGCCTCGCAGCTGGACCACCCGCTCCGGTGAGCGCCGTTCAGGACCAGCGTGACCTGCCAATCTCACCAGCTGACCCTGCCACAAAGTTCCCCATGTGCTTCACAACTACAGTATGAAGCAAGCCACAGCAACAACAGGAATATTTGGCTGTGTAAAGCCAGCTGTGTTACAAAATATCCCATGTTCTTGCTGTCCACCAAATAGTTAGCCTGCGGCTACTCAGGCGCCTGTTGATTTTCCTTTTGCTGCTGACCTGGTGCCTGGCTATGTAAGCCAGAAAGAAAAACATAACCTTGATTCACAGCAGTACGATTAGCCCTGTCCCTGCCCCGAGAAATGCATCAAATCAAAAAACGCAGCTTCAGAAGAGGGACAATCACATCCCTTCTCTGGGCGTCCACCAAAACCTTCTTGTAGGCCACCGAGCTCCATGGGCAGCCCCAGCAGGATGGTCCTGTTTCCTTTACCAAGGTGGGGAGGGATGTTTTCCAACGGAGTAACCAGAGTTCAGGAAGCCAAGACCCAGAAACACACCTAGCCCTGCAAGCAGAGCAGTAAAATGCTGCAAAGTTGCCCCTCCTCATCCTCCTTTCCCCCACTGCGCAACCACCTGCCATAGATGCTCCACAAACATCAACAAGCTGAATCTCTCCTTGTACGGGCATGAGAAC